CACTAGTAATGAATGATCAGAAATAAGGGCAAAAACTAGGAATTCAGTGCATTCAGAGGGCTAGAAGTGTATGTGTGTTTATATATAATATATAATAATAATTACCATTTACACAGTGTTTATTTCATTCCTGGCACTGTTCTAAGCGCTTGACCTATTAATTTGTTTGCTCCTCAGCTCATACAACCCTATGATGTAGGTACTAATATTATCCCTGTTTTACTCAAGGTCACACACTGAGTTAGCAGCAGAACTGAGCACTGAACCTAGGAAGCCTGGCTTCAGGTACACTCTTTTTAACCACTACTCCATATCACTTCATCTGAAAAGTGTCTCACTCCCAAAGTAGGCCCAACAGTGGTGCTTCCCTCTTGATATGACTTTATGACTATTAAGAATACGAAATGAGTAACTGCAAGGTCAGTTTCTATAAGACACTGAAAATTAAATCAATACTTACAGAGAAAGCAGCAGTAATGCCCCCTCCAATAATTATCCTATGTATCACCTTTTGTGTCATGTTTGGGAATTACTACTACTACCACCAGTTATGTTTTACCAGGGCACCTGGGTGGCTCAGATGGTTAAGCATCTGCCTTCTGCTCAGGTCATGATCTTAGGGTTCTGGGATCAAGCCCCGCGTCGGGTTCCCTGCTCAGCGGGGAGCCTGCTTCTCCCTCTCCCTCTGCTACTGCCACTGCTTGTGTTCTCTCACTCTGTCAAATAAATAAAGTCTTAAAAAAAAAAAGCATTTACCTGGACACTTTGGAAGGATTATCTGATTTAACCACAATAGCGAATGCGTGGGGTCTGGTAATACCATTCTCATATTATCCTTGGGGAAGACTAGGCTCAGGGAGTTCAAATAACTTATTCAGCCCCACAGTGTGACAAAACGCTAAGGAAGAGATCTGAACCCAGGCTGCACTGTCATCCCTCTGATCATAGTGTGTTGCCTCTCACTGATAACTCAGGCGGCAGGCCTTGAGTGGGGATAAGGAATTACAGACTCCATGAATAGAATTATTTTAAGAACTTTATAAAATCATCTTTTACACTTGGGGAACAGGATAGATTCTTGAATTTCCTTTTTAGCCTTTCTAATTTATCTTCACTAGAAGATAGGCAGAGGATACTGCATAATGTTCAAAATATAAAATAAAAACTATAAAATAGCTGACAATTTCATATTTAACTAACGTTAGGTATGCCATTACCTGGTTTTCTCTGATTAAATTGGTGAACAGACTTAAAGGATGTGATTTTAGCACAAATTTTTGAGATAATCAGGATCCTATAATAGATTTGTTAGACTGAGAGAAATAAATGGGATGGGCTTTTTAAAAAGGGGATAATTCTTAAAGAATTAGTGCTTTTTGTTTAATGTTAGCAGGTTAGCTCCATCCTGGTGGGTCATTACCGAGATAGCTTTGTGCTTGTGACTAGAAAAGCTGCCATTACTACTGCTACTACTACTGCTACTACTACTACTACTACTACTACTACTACTACTACTACTACTATTACCTTTTGCTTGTATTCAGCTGTCAAGTATTTTTACTTGCTGAATTGGCTCGTGTGCAGCACACACATAAGATTTACATAAAAAGGAACAGCTGTGTGAAACATTGCCTTTGGGGAGGTAAATTCACTTGAGGTGGTGATTAAAACGTACGAAGCTCAAGGCACAACTGTAATGATGGTAGGACCATTTCTCTCCCTCATGCAGTATTTTATATCTACTGCCCTCAGAACCAACATACAGTATGTTCATGGTAGCAAATGATATTTCCTACCCTGTAAAGATGGTTTTATTGCAACGTCCCACTTTTAGTTACTGAAAATCCTCTTTACAAGCTACCACTTTTTACTATTTGGCCTCTTCCAAAAGATATGTCTGGAGTGAGAGAGAGAGAGAGAGCTATATTTAAGTTCTAAAAATAAGGCAATGCTTAATGTGGTGTATTTAAAAATTAATTTAAGAGCAATATTTTTAAATGTTAGATTGTACTAATATTGCTTAAACAACCCTTGCATATCAGGGAAGGGTCAAAGGGCACTTGTTTTCCAACTAGCATGCCAGAATTCTGACTTGAGTAACTTGGACTTGTTTAACAAGCACGTAAATTATCAAAGGGTTGTTTTTTTGTGTTATACTTTAGACAATTTCATTTTAAATATTACCGTGTCTTGTGTATTAGGTGATTAAAATTGGTGATAATGTACCTACATTCAAAATCATCCTTACATTTTTAAATCTTTGGTTTTGCCATTTCATTTGGTACAAATCTGGAGGTTGTCAAGAAAGGTGCTGAGGCATGCTCACAGATGTTCAAATTTGTACTACCTTGAGAAGGGCAAGGAATTACTTAGCCATTGTTTGGATTCCTTAAGAGTTCCTCTAATTGGACTTAAGTGTCTGGTAGTGTGAACCTCTCATTGTACTTTTAGTGGTTCTCTTGTTGAAGATTTGTGCATTACACAAAACTCTGAACTTTTATTATACTACTTCAGAATAGATGTTTTCATAAGCATTATTATATTTGATCCTTGCAGCAACCCTGTGAGGTTAACAGGATTATCCCCTTTCTACGTACGGGAAAACTGAGGGTCTGAGAGGTGGCATGATGCATCCGCTGTGCCTGCAAGTATTACCACCCTGACTGTAACCTTGAACTCCACACACCAAGCAATTACTTGATCAGAGTAATTTACAAAACTGAAATCTAAAACAAATAGTCCACTTAGGCCCTATCTTCATCTCATAAAATGTGCTAGCATATTTTTAGGATTAATAAACTAGGAATATTGTGTAAAACTGGAGGGAAAAAGTCATTTTAATCATGTTTTGATCTATGCTTAGACAATTCTCTTAGTCATGTTTACATTTTTATTTTCTAGCAATTATTTTAGCTGATAGAATAAAAGTGTAGATTTATGATGTTCTTAGGATGTGCATTGTATTATGTGTTTATGTGTATACATGTTCTGTTTACTGAGATGGACGAAAAATTTGTTCTACGTCCATAAACCTTTGGTATTGTACTGTAAATTTGAGTGTCTATTTTTAAAATTAGGTAAAAACAAAGCTTTAACATATAGTTGGAGAATCACTCCCCAGCTTTATATAAACTAGCAGGATGACATACTTAGCTTGGAATGAAGATAGAAGAATGCATCTACTGTACCCACGAACGGATTACTAAGAACCAGGGCTTGAAATGACACAGGACGGGCCACTCACTCTTGTGGGGTCACGGCATCATGTCCTTCCAGTTGCCTGTGCTGAATCCCTGCTGAGGCTTACCCATTTGTTCTCTCTCGGTCTCTCTCAATTCCTCTTTTTTCCTCGCAGTAGTTTTGGAAATATAGTCCCTTATCATGCTAGTAAGAGGAGAATCTTCAGAAAAGGCAAGTGGATCTTGCTCAGGCAATGGCCATCAAAGATTGTGTTAAATCAGTATAAGAAAGTTTATCATAAAGAGTCTGTATTTTTCACAATGATCAGCTACCTCCATTGACCACCTGTGACAGAATGTCTGTAGAAACATTCATGTTTACTTTCCACGGGAAGGTACACTCACACTCAAACTGGAAGCCATTCACAGAACTTCTACAAAATGACCCCTGAGCGGAAGACAAACTGAAAGTGAGATTGCTGCCCTACCTAAGAGAGCCCTGCTCCCAGCATCTCTGGAGGTGAGCAGGCCCTTTCTGTATTTGTGTCCTTCCAGCCCCAGTTCAGTTCCTCCCATAGTTCCCCTGTGCATGGGAGTAAGAAGCTTTAAATACACAAGCAGAGGCTCCTTCTTGGGCAGGGTAGCTGACAGAAGAGACATAAATAAGATGGCTGCCTCCACACAGAAAATACTTGTTTTTGAATGTATAGCTTCCTTTTGTAGTATAACTTGAGCCCAGAGGTGGCAGAGCCAGAGCTAGGTTATTTTGCTTAATGTTTCTCTTTTTCAGAGTTGATCAAAAAACAACAAAACAAACAAAAAACAGCCTTTCCATAAATATTTTATGAAGGGATGAGTAATTATATAATGGAATAAAAACCAAAGTATCCACAGTAAATTTCAAGAATTCACTTTTTGGTTATAACCATTGCTTGAAAAGAATAGTTATGCAACTCTAAGTACCTTGATATTAGAGTGTAATTAGGAATTCATCGACACAGCAGAAATCTGTCTTTCTCTGTATCCATCTATCATCTACGTGTACGCATGTAGATAGATAGATAGATAGATATATATATATATGTATCAAGTATTCTAGATGTTTATTATTTTTTCCTGTACACATTCTTTGGACTTAAGTAGGTGTGAAAAGCCAGTGGGAATCTCCCTTAATAATATTAATAGTAGCATTAATACTGATCAATTTTTTGAGAATTTTTGGACGCTTTTAAAACTTGGTAAAATACCGTACAATCATTGTTTTTCTCCCCAGGTATTTCTTTTCTCCTCATGAATAGTTAATTTTTCTGAAACCTAATTGAGTCAAATAAGCACTCAAGTTTTAAACTATTTGAAGAATGGATTTTATGGAGCCAATGCCCAAGGACTTTCTTGAAGATGTGGTCTGATTGTGTTCCTGTGAACAAAGGTCTTTCTTTACTGAGGCCTGGCATAAAGTGTTTATGATCTCCAGCTTCTATCTTCCAAGTCTGTACCAAGAACAAAGATTCCAGAATCATTCTTTGGATTTGAGATGGGTAGTGTCACCAGTTAAGATCTTCCTGCTCAGAGCTGCAGCCATTTGGATAGTTGTTCAGGTGGCTCTAAAAATCCTGTGAAAGTATAAAGAGAAAAAAAAAAACAACTGGTGTACTTTTATAGGTGGCAAAATGTGAATATGGTAGTCCTTTAAAATTCAACAATTTATTTGATATAGCAAATACCACCATTTTGAGTTATTAATTTCTAATACTAAATTGTGTTTGGAGTTTGAAGATCATAGCCTTGTTATAAAATGATTGTTTTCTTCTTCCTTTGTAGGTGACCCATTAACCAAGGATAAATCAAGTGATCCTCAAGCCTGATTACATTGAACATATGCACAGAAACTTAATTCCTGAGGTGATCTTGAAGGGAGATTTTTATATTGCTCACAAGAGGCACTGCAGAGTCTTATTTCCAAGGGATTTCATGGCTCGTCATCAGCCTCTTCTTGAAACCAAGACTTTTAAAAAGTCAGACATGAACTTCTGTGTCATGAAGATTTTGTCAGATTTGAACTGTGTTCAACTTGTAAAATTGCACTTGCTAAGAGAATTTGAAGTTGCCATCTGAAGAGTTGGTGTTTCCAGGTGATGTCAGAGACATTCACCTTTTGGGTTCTTGGCCTCAAATGGGACTGCTTTTCTTGTTTTTGAAAGTCTGCCAAGTGCACCGGCCTTCTGCCATGGGTATGTTCCTGGGTCCGGTCCTGTGTTCCTTGGCTGGTGGGACTGCACCCGCCTTTATTGACATTTCCTTTGCGAACTTCTCTGGCATGGTGTAGACTGAGACAATTTTATTTGTATCCTATTCTCGGAGCTCTGAAAGCCTACATGTTTTAACATCTTAAAGTTGCTTTTGTTAAAGGAATGGAAATATATATCCATTGATAATAATTATTGTTGGCAAGTAATAGTTATCTGACTACATCAATCATATAAGAATGTATAGACAAGCTGACATGTTTCCCCAAGGCTAACATACTATTGCAGCTCTCTATCAGTTAAATAGGTAATAGTTAGAACTGAATTTCCATTTTCATTGTATGCTATTTTGTACTTCTAAGGGTACTCTCCCTCTCGGTGTTTGTTTTTGTTTTTTTTCAAGTGGGCTTTTTCTTTCATGTTTACATTTACTTTTTCCCTTCACAGAAATCAGCAGTGAGCAGTCAAGTATGTAGGAAGCCTTCAGTTTCAAAAAATCGACAGGGACGCATGTGGATATCTGATTTCTTAGCTTGAGAGTTATTCACTAAGATTTCTTCTAGTAATTTTTTTAACTGTCCTTTCTTTCATTTTAATAGACTGTCCCTTGCTCGCTCCCAATGACTGTTTGAATGCTTATGTATTTGTTCAGTCCATTAACAGAATTGTTCATTTTCCTTGGTCTCGAATTTATAAATATTTGCTTATAGTTGTCCCATTCAAACAATTTCTTAGGTCAGGTTCTGTCCACAGTTTTGTAGTCATTTTAATATTTTTGTTCTTCAGTTCTACAGGAAAGTCTTACAAATATTTAAAGGCCTTAAACATGTATGTACTTTTTTTCTAAGTTATTACAGAATGTATAATTTTATACATTTTATTTCATCTGTTATGTGAGGGTAGAGAAGAATTGAAAATGCATAGGCAATCTGTAATATTGTGTAAATGTCTAGTTGAAGGGATGTAACTGGAGAGACTCCTTTGTTTACTCATCTTAGCCTAATAGGAAGGTACTTCAGAAATTGTCCTATTAGAAGTTCCATCATGTTAGAAAAGATATGACCATCTTTCACATTTTTAAAACTCACTGACATGGTCAATTAAGTCTATGTTGGTTTCCAGGATGGAGGCTGACATACCTTGGAGAGTTTTGGCCTGTTAGTTGGTAACAAATTTCAAAGACCGGTACATTACCCAGAATGTCTTCTGGGCAGAAAAATTAAAAGTGTAAAACTTGTTAAAAATTAAATTTGTAAAGTATGCTTTGGACACTGAACCAAAGTGTACTGCCCCATAAGTCCATGGGATGAAATGACTTCCTCCCTCCCTGTTAATTATACATAAAACTAATTAGATGGCTCTGAGTGGATTTTGCAATGGTTCGAGATTATGTATGAATTCAGAAAGAAAATAACAGTTGTGCTGGAATTTTTGCATCAATTATAACAGCATTTAATTTCTTTGGAACAAAGTAGAAAACTGTATTATTTTGGAAATTATGAGTTTTTCCTAGGTTTGTCTGAAATTGTAGATCATGCTTCTCATTTTTTTTTAACTGAGTCCTTTAAAACAACACTGGAAATTCTGTATTATATACAAGTGTAACACAAGCATATCAATAGAAAAAAATAAATGGAATTTCAAATATACTAACTAGATTATCCCTAGTAGATTAATGTTGTGACTATTCAGAAAAAGTAAATAAAATTGGGATATAAAATGGACTCTCTTTCATGAGTTACATTTGGAGAATCTGTTTGTTTTCTAGTGTTTTATTTTAAAAGTACTTCAGTTACTATCCAGAAAAACCTCTGAATTCATGGGGAAGCTGACAAAATTTTTCAATCTAATCTAACTTTTAATAAAAATCCATGGCAACTCTTGCCATTTACACAAGGTTCCAATACTTGATTTGCTTCTTTCCTAGGAAACAATTGAAAGAGATACATTTACACTTGTGCTGTTTGCCCACATCTTGACTATGAGCACAACTGATGTTTGCTAGCAATATGCAAAATTCTTTTTATTATACAAATTGCTAAATACGCTGCTTATCCTTTGAAATTCATTATATATGGAAATGTTAATGAAAATATCAGATACGGTTATAACTCAGCTTTCAAATTTTTTAAAAATAGTTTAGTTTAAAATTCACAAGAAGTTACAAAAAAGAGTGGAGAACTTCTGTGTGCCCCTTCTCCCACTGTCCTCCAATGACAAAATCTTATAAAACCAAGAAACTGACATTGGCACAATACTATTAACCCAAATACAGACTTTACTTGGATTTTACCAGTTTCACATGCAGTGTGTGTGTGTGTGTGTGTGTGTGTGTGTGTGTGTGTGTGTGTGAAAGAGAGAGAGAGAGAGATCTTATCCTTTTCAACTAACGTGGTAAAACTTTACTGTGGTGTGGATTAGAGTATAAGAATATGGTCAATGAGTGATCTGTAATAACTTTTCTCAAGTTCTCTATTTTTAGAATAACATCCTTTAACTTTATTTTTCTTTATTTTTTGAACACTCTTGTTGCCTTAACATAATGGAGGCTTCCAGTTTTAATGCCAGACAGTACCACATGTGATTTCAAACTTGGTTTTGGCTTTAATGGGTAGGAGGGGAACTGAGAATCTGTATCTGAGGTTGGAATAAAAAGGGGTTTGATCCTGTTCTTTATTTCCCTCAGCAAGTCCTGTGCTGTACAATTGGGCTGTGACCTTTGATGATACCCAATAGCTAATAGCACAATGATTAAGTGGGACTTGATAAAGTTTTATTTTCTCAATTCATAGGTGATATATCCATCTGAAAGAGCCATATATGCAAAGATATCAAATAGTATTTTTCATCATCATGCCTTTTCTCCTTTTGACTTAAGTGGGGAGGAATAGAATGATGGCAGACACTCTGCTAGGAGAAACAGAAAAGTCAGAGGAGACATACACACTGGGCAGCCTCCTGTGCCCCTTACCCACACAGAGAACATACCCACAGAGTGTAGCACATCACTATATTTATCAAGGTAAGGGTTTGTCTTTTTTTTAATATATATATATAGAATGCTTTGGAAAAGAGATTTCTTCTTCATTGTTTTTATTTGCACTGAGATTGAAAAGTAGTGTAGACATTATAATTATCTGGCATTTAACAGTTACTAAATTCCTACTAGGTATATCTGGCTAGATTACATTTGGGGGTTAGCTGAAGTTTAACCTTTAACCTTTAAAATACTTTTAAAATCAGTTCACAAGGTAATTTTTCAATGCTCTACTTATGCATGGTATTATGCTAACCTATGGGAAAATGGGTACACAAAAGACTTAAGTGTTTCGTATTTGTTTTGAATTTTTTCATATCTGTTTTCAATATATTGCAAATTACTAAATAGGATGCATTATGCCCTAAACATTTGTCTGCAAATCCTGTTATTGAAAGTGACTGAACTTTATTTTTGAACTTTATTCTAGCAGTTAGGTAAGCAGGACAGTGCATGTCCATAGTTGTTTTACAGATTTTAGCAAAAATGTGATTGAGAATCTTAAAGAAGAGAGATTATGGACTTGAAGTGACAAAGGACTAAAATAATCTGGGGGAGAGGGAATGAGGCCTGAGCTTGGACTATTACACTGTGAAGAATGTGAAGCAGTTGCAATTTAAATTACTTGAAGATCCTAACAATTACCCATGCTTGACCCTATTCTCTGAAATGCTCTTACTTGTCCCTAGGCTTTAATCCTAGACCAATTATTATTATTTTTTAAAAGCTCCCCAGGTGATTCTGATGAGGGGTTTTGCTCAAGGTGGAAGTGAGGAGTTGGGTGAAATGATTGGATGAGTAAAAGGGAGACCTGAAAGAGAACTCCAGAAGGTCCCGGGCTTACCAAAATGGGACAACTGAGGCTCAGTTAAAAATGGCAGAAAAACTTGAGGAAAAGCAAGCCAAGTGGCAGGTAGAGACAATGAGTTCATTTTTTCAAGCCTACAGAGTTTACAGTACCAATGAAACATTCAGAAACGTCATGTCAGATAGGAACTGAACAGGTTTTATTGGATTTGTAATTAGAGATTATTGTTGGTCTTGGAAAGAGCAGTTTCAATGAAGTGCTTATTGTAGAACTGAGCTTTCATTGGGTTGGAGAATGAATAAGATTTGAAAGTGGAAATAGCATACATAGACTTCTCTTTGAGTGGGAAATGAAAAGGCAAAGTACGGTAGTGTTTATCAAGGGGAGGCAGAATCCAAATAGTGCATTTTTTTAAATATGGGAGAAATAAGAGTGTGTTTATATATGCTGCAAAAGAGGGAGGGAAGAGGGGGAGCAGTGCGTTAAGAACCTAGAACTGAAAATAAATAGGAAATGAAAGCAGGGGGTGTCATATCTATATGGAAAGAAATTCAATGTGTAAGGAAGAAATAGAACCAAATCCCACAGAAAATCTAATGGGGTGAACAGTGAAGAAGCAATTGGTGCTTAGGTCTTTGGTGACCTCCCACACAACAGTGTCACTAGTGTGGCAGACCATGAATCAAAGAGCAATCATCAGGGTTGATAAGCCCATGGGTGAGTTTCAGCTTATACCTGGGCTACTGAGAGTTAGAAAGTTAATGACTCCAAGATCATAAATAGATTAATGAAAAATTAGCTAAGTCGCAATATCCTTATTTATAAAGTGAAAATACTTTTTGTCTAACAGGATGGTTGTGAAGATTCAATGAATTAATATATGCAAAGTGCAGTATGTAGTGCATAGTATTTACTAAATGGTGGTTCTTCGTTTGTGAAAGAGGTCAGTTCTGTTCATCCTGCAATTGGTGTATAAATTGTGTTGACAGAAAATAATAAAACCATATCATATATGATATAAAAAGTTTTGGGGCCTGCTGGTATTTGTGCTAAATAGAATGGGAAGATGTAGAGGCATTGCACTGATAAAAGAAGGGATTTATTAGGAATAGTCTTGGAATATCAAAGGGAAGGGTTAGTGTGAGAGGAATCTATGTTTTTGCTGTTAGATAAATGAACAACAATGGATGAAGCTAGGGAGAAATTTAAAAGTGAGGTTAAAGGAAATAATGCCTAGGGGCCTCTGGGCTGAGGAAACAGCAGCACATACAGGTTTTAAGTAGATGAGATTTATCTGCTGAGCATACAAGATACAGAGTTTGGTTTGAAACCAAGGCGAACAGAAAATATTTGAAGCAAATTTTGGTGTTTTTAGATACTCAAAGCTCAAAAAGCAATAAAGTCATAATATAGGGCACTTAATTTGTAGAGATATGTGACTTTTCCATGTAATGCAGCCTGGACGAAAACCAAGTAAATGAATAGTTGGATCATCTTTGGATGAAAACAGGCAAGGTTAAAAGGCTAGCATCTCTTGAGTCCTTACTCTGTGCCAAAAGTTTTAAGAACTCTTTTCTCTTATGATTTTTCATAACATTTATTTTTCTCTAGTTTTATTTATTATAAGAATATAGTATATAATACATATAACATATAAAATATGTGTTGATTGACTATGTTATTGATAAGGCTTCTGGTCAACAATAAGCTATTAGTAGTTAAGTTTTGG